AGGCTCGACCTTTCAGAGCTCCAGAATCTGGGTGTTTTTTTATCACAGGGGTCTTTGGAGACGTCGGCAGGACGCAGCGTGCTCGGCAGCACGCCTGCAGCTCCTTCAGCTTTTACACTTTGCTCCTATTAATAATAAATTAATTGATTAATTTCTGTGTTACCTGGTCGTAGTGTCGCGGCAGGGGCTGGTCAGGCCGACCCGCTCTGCTCCCAGTGGATAGAGGGAAAGGAGGATGGATGGAAGGGAGAAGGCTGGTTTTGGAGCAACCACACTTTTGGTGTTTGTTCCTTTTTAGGACCTGCCCAAGCCGGTCAGGAGAAAGCACTGTAACCAATTATTGCCTGACGTGCCTTAGAAAGGAAACCTCTTTGCTCCCACACTTTAATGGACAGGACTGCAGTGGTTACTAAGGTACTTTTCTTCAGCGTTGTGGATTTAACAGGCCACAGACCTTGGGTCACTCCACCGTTTTTCTGGAAGGTGTTTTAGCCTTGGTGGAGAAGTGTCATTCCTGTACTAATCCTCTCACAGAAATCAAGATGTCCCTGCAGTTCAGAGACTGCTGGAAGTGCCTTTTTCCCTTGAGCATCAGCAGGAGAGGAGTCAGAGCACCTTCCATTCCAGGTGTTATGATGAACAGCCTCTTCTTTCAGAGCATGGCACAGAACTGATGAAGCCCTTTCCAGGGGAGCCTTCTCCAAAGCTGGCTGCTGTTCTGAACACGACACCAACTGGTCAAGATACTGAATTTGAATTCACAGCCAGTAGTAGCTCTGGCAGCTGAAGCCACGTGTAATACTTCTGCCACAGGAACTCTGTGGAAGGACTGATTTTCACCATCCTGCTCCTTCTTTAGCTGGAGGGGTGTCTGGGGTGGGCATTGGCTCGGGGGGATGAGTATCCATCTGGAATGCTGCTGAGTGTGGTTTGGAAGGTAAAGAAAACCTGGGAAAGAGAGAAATGGCATCCAGTTGATAAAATGTGAATGCTTAGCTTTCAAGCTGGGTGTTGGTGTAAAGACACCAGCATGTTCCTTTCCCAGCAGTTCTGAAAAGAAAGGGAGAGAGAGGAGGATGTCTTCTAGAATCCCTTAACACAGTTCTGGCAGGTGTAGCATGAAATACTCTTCCTCACCTTTCCAAAAGAGCAGGAGAACGACAACTGTGAATAATCTGCAGGTCAGAAAGAAATTCATCTGCCACTCTATCATACAGCCTTAGCCAAAATACACCAGTAGATCAACCAAAATACCCGAGTAAGAAAAGGTGACTGGGGTGGAGTTCACCCGTTTTCACGTTCTTGAAGCCACCTCTGACTCCAGGGAAGGCAGACTTTATGCAATGGAGTGCAGAACTGGGCCTGTTCTATAGTGCTGGTAAGGAAAACAATGGGGTTTTAGATGACAGCTAGATTTTAACTTGGAGAACTGGACCTCAGAGTGGTAAGAGGGGAATCTACATGCCTGGCAAGAGCCACAGTAAATCAAGGGTAGAAACTGTACAGATTTGTAAATATTGTGTTCTGACATATGCATGACTTTATGCTTTTAATGCATTCTAGACCATGAGATAACCTAGAATTTCTGTTGTAAACTATTTCTTTTATGCAGTAACCTCTTAAAAACCAACCAACCAATGGATTTTGCACTAAGCAACTTTATGGAGACTGTTAATTCAACTAAAACACACCGTGTCTGTAACCTCCTGGAAAATAGGCTGAAAAAATAAACACAGGAACATCCATTAAAAATGTGGTTTGACTGAAAGGTGGAAGTGTCTGTAACAGCTCTGTGCAGCACCCCTCCAAATGAAAAGCCAATGCTCTTTGGCTCAGGAAGTGAACACGTGAAAATGAGACTCCAAAGATCATTGCAAACACAAAAATGGACCAGGATCTTATCTGAGACTTAGAAATACTTGTCATTCGTGGACCAGAAGAAAATGTTCATTAACATAATGCTTTGGAGGTATTTAAATAAAAATCAAGCTTAAGAAAAAAGGGGAAGGCAACACTTGTGTGTGTTCTTGTGCTAATCATCTGTTTGCCCACGTGTTCAAGGAGAAAATACAGGGCTGGCACTTGGGGAATTCTTGTTGATCATTTTTTATAGATTCTTGGCTAATTCCTTGATAGTAAAAAAAATAATCAGCTGAAAAGCGTTTGACCATCTACCCCCTTCTGCAGCAGCATCTGTTTGTGCTCATGGTTTTCACTTCAGTGATTCAAGGAGTTTGGGACAGGGATAAACAGCCCCTGAGTGATACGTTTGGCTTGGAGCTCCTTTTGTGTGTGAAACTGGCTAGCCAGAGACAGGAGTGATGGCAAACAGCATAGCACAGCACAGGCAACAGATCTGAGGATGAGGAGGTCAAAATACCGTAGGGGCTGAGATACAGATTGCAGGAATTGAGGGCTGGGGAATTGGGAAGGGACAAAAGGAAAGGGGAAAGATCAGGAGTGATTTTGTGATGCGAGATCTAGTCGTTAAGAGATTGACCTGTGATAAAAGTCAGGCATCATCCTCTCCTAGGGAAGGTGTTGCAGCAGGCTGGCCAGAATCAGCTCCCTGGTGCTGACTGAGCTGGGATCTCCCCTCTCCCACCTCTCTAGCAGGTCCCTGTTTCCTACCGATGGTGTGGGGGTGCAGCTGCTGTCGGGCAGGCTGAGCAGTGACACCCTGGGCTGTCCCTTCCAAGCTCCTGCCAGTCTTCAGGGGTTCAAGCCCTTGCAATGAAAAGGTGCTTGCTCTTTTTTGTACAGAAACAGTGGGATTGTGTATTTTAGGTGTTTGACAAGTCCTCAGGCTGAAATCCCCTCAGTTTTTGGGCTTGGCCAGCTAGATGCCAATTACAGGGTTTCTTTTGCTTTGTGCCTTGTGGCACGCTGCACCTCAAAGGCTGTTGCCTTGAGGATTTGTTGCCATGGGCACTGAAGCCAGCAGAGATTGATTTCTTTCAGTCAAAAGAATTTGTGGGTTTTTTTTTTTTATATATATCAAATAATTTGTAACACAAAGATCCAGTGGAATAGCTGTGAAAGATCAGGATGTGTAGCTGTGGAAGATTATTTTAAAAAGGTTTTTTTTGGTGGCTGTTTTAAAAAAAATGAGTCATAACAAATGATTGGATAGTTGTTCAGCCTTGTGAAGCTACAGGGTTACCACCAGCTCAGGGTGATATGTAAATGCTTTATCCCTTTTCAGCTAAGTGGTAGTTGAGAATGAAGGACAGGCAGAAAGCTCCAGGTTTTTTTCTTTAAAGGTAATAGTTGCATCAAGTTACACCTCTGACCCCCCATGTTTCCACTTGAAAGTCAACAAGTTGCCTTACTTGGCAAAATAATCAGGAAAAAAAGCACATTTGTCACTTCATGCTGCTTAAAAGGGCTACCCAGGAGATAGAGCAAAGGGAAGAAAAAGTTAAAAATAATCCAAGAAAACTTAGAGTGTTTTTTCTACAGAAAAAGGTTTGTGTTTATAAACCAAAAAACTCAGAACAGAATTGAGTTTCCATAGATCACGGGTACTCCAAGAGGGGAGGGAGGGGAGATGGGTGTTTAAACCACGGAATATTTCCTCACCAAGAATAAAAAGGTATCTATTTATTTGAATATTTTTTTTCCTAGGCACTGAAGAGGACTTAAGATACAAGCCCCTGATTTGCCAGGGCCTGCAACCCAACTTTGGCCGTTTCTTACTTAACGTCTTTTTTGTCTATAGCTTAAACTCTCCACACTGGGTCATTCAGGTCTTGAGTCACCAGGAAAAAGAAGTCGCTGTTTAAAGTATGGCAGACAACCAAAAGTTCAGACAGCTGCAATGAAGGATTAGTTGTGGGTTTTTCTCACTGCCTTGCTACAAACTGCATCACAGCTCTATGTTCAAACATGATTAAATGGGAATGTTTTCTCTGGCACCGACGACTTCTCCCCACAGTTTGAGTATTGAATTTTTTTAACTGAAGTAGCTTTGGTTTACGGCTCACATTAGAACTTAAAAACATATTTCCATAGTAGCTGGCATATGCAGGCAACTGTTTATTCTCAGCACCAGCCATAATAAACACTTGTACTTTTATAATCCAACAAATCTTTGTCTAAGCACAACTCCGTTTTCAGAGCTGTAAGATCTGCATGCCAGTTAAACCCTTTTTTTCCCCAAGACTCTCTAGAAATTGAAAGATTTTCTGCCTTCATGATAAACAGAGACCAATAATTCACTGTGAAGGATGTGGAGCTGCACGCTGGGTACTGGTGGCAAGGGCCTGTTGAGAAGCAGCTTTGCTGTAGGGTTTTCAGGGGAACAGCTCATCTTGAGGACACCCACCTTCAATTCTACCTCAGGCTTACCCTGGCAAGGAAGAAACGGCCCCTCCTTGGTCAGAGGTCAGATCTCCACCTTTCCAGCAGCTCTGCCAGCATCATCCATCTCATAAATGATCTCTGGTACTGATGCTGTGTCCAAGTCAGTCACGTGGTGGCTTCAACAATGTGACGCTTCCCTGAGCGTTAGCATCCTACTGCTCAAACTTGTCCAAAGCAGAAATGGAGACAAAACCTAAACATCCCAGCAGGGTAGATGGAAACTGGCAACATCTGAGGCAGACAACTCAGAACTGCAAGAATTTGGGGTGGCAGAAGGGAGGCAAGAACCATGTTCCTGCAGCCTCCCAAGAAGAGCTGGCAGGACCAGAGCAATGGAAGAAAAGACACTGATTTATTGCAGTCACATGTAAATGTTGGCATTTAACAATAGCAGCAGCAAAAGAGAAAAAAAAAACCAACCCAACAGTTAAAAGAACCTGAGAATGCTGAAAAAAGCCACAATAAATAGTGAAGAACTGGA